GTATAAAAAGAACAAAAGGGCCAGGACACTTTCTTTCCAGGGCACTTTCTTTCTGGAATATGTAGCAGCTTCCAAACCAATCTGCTCCATAACACTTGCTGGAACTCAGGCGCATGACAAGACTCAGACATGACTATGCAAATGAGCACACATCCTGAATCCCAAAGGTAGGAGGGATGGTGATAATAATTACACAGAGAGAGAGGGAGAGAGATTAAACAAGCAAAACCCCAAATAGAGAAGATCAGTAATGTTGCTTACTGACAGAGACTGCTACTTGTTTTTTCAGAATGCATTGTAGAAATTTAAATTTTAATCTCTCAACTGGCATGCCAAATGACAACATGAAAAGGTAGAAGAGATTCCTGTCGTTTCTTTCTGTTGGACAAGTGAGGTTAGCAGGAGAATTTTTGTAGTCAATTCCTGTTCCTTAGTTGAGGATTTATGTAAATCCAGCCTATGAGACTAAGCTGACGGAAGCAGCTGTTTATAATTAAAAAAAATCCAAAGTCCCCCAAACAGAAAAAGCAGCAGAAGATTTGGGATTTATTCTTATTTTATAAAATTTCAAAAGAAGAAGTAATTTTTATACTAAGAAGCCTTATTTCATAGATAAGAAATGAGAAAACATTTACAAATTCTTCTACAGTTCTCAGTGTCAGTGTAATGCTAGACTGTGCAAAAGTTCAGAAAACAAAAGCAAATAAAATCGGAATGTTTCTTTTCTCTGAATGAGTCAGCATAAAACAATTTAACTGCATATAAGGACACCACAAATAGAAAATAATTGATTTTTTGTAAATCTAGAGTTTTTAAAAAGGATTGATTGTCCAAAGACAGGCCAAGGGAAGTTCTTTATTACTCATCTAATCAGTGAAAATTTATGTAATTTAGTACATATTTCACTTAAAATGCATATTGAATCCATACTCATGACTATAGACCTGTAGTCTGACTCTATTCTCCAAATTTAACCATTAAGCCCGAAACAGCTCTTTGGTTTACTGTGTCTAGAATTTCAATTCAACAGGACAGGAAGAAATTATTAATGCCCAGTATAACTCTCTCCTCATAAGTATGGCTCTCACTAGATGGAAGGTAAGAATTTACGTTTGCATGGACACTTGATTCTGCCAACATTATTGGTAATATATCATATTCTGCTCACAAAGGAAAATATAAAACCGGATCTTTTCTTGTAATATTTTAAAAACATGAAAGATACTAATAAAACTTGCCAGGGTCTGGATACAGTCAGTTATAGAATTCTGGAGCACAGTAAGTAGAATGCATATTAATTGTGTCCTTCAGGAAAAAATCACCTATTACATTTTTAAAAAGGTAAGCTCAATTCTATATACTAAAGAAAGAAACAAGAACAAGGCTTAGTCACTTGAAGCACTAAGTAGCATTAATCCTAAATCCTTAAAGGATTAGAAATCCTGACACTTCACTATCATTTTCGCCATACCCTAGGATTTCCTGATGACTAACTATAGGTAAAACTCTGCTTCATACATTCTTGACTGTGGATCTAATTCAGAGGAGCTTAACTCTTTTTGTGCACTATAAAATGGATGTAGGTACCTACAGTTGGTTCTGAATATTAGGTCTTGCAGTGCCTAAGTGTGTTTTTGTCTGCTAGATGACATCATCTCCTAAGTCACACAGATTTTTCTTGAAACTAGGTTCCCAAGTAACTTTGGCCCTTTGAAAACCACTATTTATGTCTGTCAAGACATTCTCTGGACTCTATCTCTTTTTCATCAAAACAGCTATTTCTGTCTTAAAGAAAGAGAATTAGTCACATAGCTGAAAATGGCAGTGATGGGAACTATGTCTTTTTTATCTTTTTCTCCTGTTAGAAACATACCTGGCAAATGAGGTTTTAAACAAAATGGACGATACATGTTTGAATTCATAATTCTTCCTAATGCATAGGCAGTAAATAAAAAGCAACTGAAATACTGTAGTACTTAATATACGTGCCTTTAAGGAGAAAAAAACTTAGGCATAAGCCATGCCATAAATAAATATTTAGCATACGTGCCCTCAAGGCACATCTGTCACAGTTTACTAGGAAGAGCAACATTTAAAGTGTTTAATATAGAGAGGATTGGCCTAAAACAGAGCACACTTTGTTGCTCAATTGTGCTACAGCAAATAACACTTATTTTTATTTTTCTTTTTTTTTAACTGAAATTCAGAACAAAAATCTCCACTTTTTTTTTTTTTTTTTAGCGTCCCTGAAATAATTTACTGCAATGAAATTTATTCATTTTGCTTTATAATATCTCTAAAACTTCACATGCCCCAGAATTTCAGAAGGGGAAAAAATCCCACACTGCTATAACCACCTTTACAAGATATAGTGTGCCCATCCTTGTATTCCATGCATTTATTAGATGAAATTAAAGAGAATAAAGTGATAATTGCCCTTTCCCATCTCTGTCTTTAGTTTATAGCACTTCTGTCAATACTAGTAGTGCTCAAGATAGCAGATTGAGCACAAGATAGTGTTTAACTCTCTTTTAAGCATCTCATGTCAGCCTTGAAAGACTCTATTCCTTTTATCTTGTCCTCATTTCCTACCATGTACATATTGTATCATCATGGCTAGGCTACGCGAACGAAGATTTGAGAAGGGCTCTACCCACGCTTGCTACAAGTGCCCTGATGGCTAAAAAGGCCAATGCGAGATAAACAAGTCCGGTTGCAGAAGGTACAGCAGAAAGACTCCCAAGGTGGTATCGACAAGACGCGATTCTTTCTGCATTGTCTTTTCTCCTCAAGAGTGATCCTGTGTGTGTTCTCAAAAGCAGAAGCAGCGTTATAGATGGTGTGTCTCCAGGCCTCCTGATTGGAGGCCAGGGTAGACCAATGGTGTGTTGTATATTGTATATGTGCTCATTGTATTTGTGCGGGGGAAATATACATATATGTGTCAAAACTGGATGGAATAAACTCTTTTTCATCTGAAAGAATGAAAACTCATAGAAAGAGTATTCACTTAAAGTATACCCTAAAATAAACCTCATACTTGGGAATTAATATTATGTACAAGTTGAAGTCATGACTTCGATATACAGAGTACTGAGAATTGATGGCCATTTTTCTATCCCAATTAGAATAATTTATAATGTACACTACATCCTGTCAGATACAATGTGCTGACATCTTTACATGAAAGGACAAAAAGAGTAATACATAACAATAAACTCCCAGGACAGCATCAATTAACACTGCCAGACTAAGCAGTTCTTCTTACTTATCTTACTAGAGTGGCTTATTTAATAAACAAAACAAGACTTCTCAAGAGAATTGTAATGTCATTAGTTTTATTCTTCCCTTAACCTCCTATGCTGAATAGGGCTTTTTTTTTCACAGTTAGATGTACCTGTCAGAAATGTGACATGTATTTTCTCATCCTCATACTTTATGTCCTTCAATGATGAGTCTCCTGGGCACCCACAGTAGCACTCAAATAGGACCTTGGACTATGGCACCCTCTCTTTTCCCTCCTTTGTCTTTTTTTTTTTTACTATGCTTTCCATTTTTTTTTCTTTAACTGTTCCATATTTTTCACTGCTAAGTTTTTTTTTTTTTCCTACTTTTACTGAAATATTTTCACTTAGGCAATACTATTTAAATAGTGGCATGATCAAAGTCTATCTGAGGTACTTGGGAAAGTAACAAATTACATCAATTATATTTCCATATAAAGACAAAACCTGAAGAGAAAAAGTGAAAAATGGAACAAACTTGGCAACACATATGCATGCACACAAAAAAATCTGCCATATTATAGTATGATTTCCTTCATTATTTCCAAAGTATAATAGACTACTGAAAATTTTGAGGTTTTTGATGAATCTAAGCATTTCAGGTGTACTGGAAGAATACAAAGAGAGGGTTGGGTAGCCCACTGAGACATAATGAGAATGGCTTCTCATGTCTCACAACATGGGATTTCAATCAAGAAGAAAAAATTAACTTCTAAATGATTTTTTAAAAGAAAGTCCTAAGAAACCAATAAAAAATTAATAAGAGTGTCAAAGCCAGAATAGAGAAAGGTAGAATATTTCAGGCATTCCTCAGACTTCTTTCTGGGAATACAGCATGTTCTGAGATGAGACTTTGTCTTTTCCTCTCAGCTTAGATACTCCACCTACTTGTTTTTGTCCTATAGAAGTCTAGTTCTCAGATGACACCTGACACAATCCCCAAAAGCCTATGGAACTTTTCTCAGAATTTCTCCCTCTCCTCCAGTAACACCTGTAATTCATAAGCTATGTTTTGGGAGGTCAAAGTATGGGACTTTGTTTTTTAAGGCAATGTAGAAAAGTATGGCTAAATATTAATTGATAGAGGGTCATGTTCCTGTCGGTATATGCATTAAAGCATATGCATAAAAGACCTGACAGAATCTCGAGGGTACCCAGTGTTTTAAAGTAAAGCAGGCACAGATATGATGACTGGAACATAAATTACTTCTCTTGCTTTCTTTCTGGTTACTAAATGCAAGTTTAGGGCAGACCACAATGTCCTTGTCATCTTCTCTAACTTGATGACTTGAAAATAACAATTTTAGTGAAACCTTGTCTCCTCTTACCTGTGCCCTTGAGGGACAAAAATATTTTCCATAAGGGTGGACAGAACAGTTTAAAAGTCAACTATTGCTACAGGAGAAGTACTCCTTTGCAGATAGAAAAATGCAGCAAAAATGTTACAAACTTTTAATATTTTATTTTCATACATGAATCCTTTTTTTTCCTGCAGTTATCAAATTAATTAAGCTTATCCTTTCAAACAAGTGTAAAGTGAAAATTTGTCTTTTATACATATACAGCTTCATAAACAGGAAGTCAATGTCAAATAATGTCATCTGTAATTCTCTGTTATCAGCCAGAGAGAAAAAATTAACACTCTCCATTTTCGCTTCTAAATCATAAACCAGAAGGAATGATCATTTGAAGCACTATTTTTAAGGAGGTCCTTACCTTTGAAGTCTTTTGTAGTTCCTTTTGGCAATCTGTTGAAATGGAATATTTACCTGTTCAAAGATAAGGTATTATTAGTGATTTCTCAGAAGGCACACTTGAAGTAAACCACATTCATTAGTTAGTTCTAATATATATAGATTAATCTTAATTATGTTCCCCTCTGTGTATTTCTATAATCCTCATCAAGGAAACTGCAGGGTTCACGAAATGTGATATGCTCTTAGAATTGCCAAAAGGTTAAAAGAAATTCTTCTCAGTGTGATTCGGGCAGCTCCTAAATGCTGACCTCCCACTTATTTTTGCACTTAGGGGCAAAACACCTTTATTAGTCTAAGTATATTTCACTACTTGTTCTATGTGGTAGTTATAGAATTTTCAACAATATCTGTAATCCAAGTTACTATGCCTACAGATAATTTTTTAGTCCTCCATTTTCTTGTATCTTATTCTTTTCCTATTCATCTGCTCTCTCCTGTTGAGTACTTTCAGTTTAAGTTTAGGTGGGTCAGGACTAGTTTTTATTTCTCCAATTGAACAATGTCTTGTAAAACAGAATTCTGGCTCAGAGGTGTTATGACACTAAATACATAAACATAAATACTGTACACAACTTGGCATATGGTAGAGTTGTATGGAACACACAAAGACTTTAACAAAATTTACTAATAGCTCATATTTCCTATTTACTGATCTATTTTCAGAAGTTCATTGAATTTTCTGAAACAAAAAGGTTAACCTTAATTTACAGACTTAGGAAACAAACAAAGAAACAAATCTATTTCCACAGCCCTAGGACTAAAATCAACTCACTTCCCATTCTTTTCATGACTTCGGTAATCACAGAATACATATTTCTTAGAAATCTTGCTTTATTCCCTGTTAGGTTGTAGAATTTGGAGGCATATCCCAACAGAGTGGTAGTCTCATAAATGCAGCTCTCTGATAAGAGCACATAAAATTTACTGTCTCACTTCAGTGCATCTGTTGTTTTTCATTTATTTTCATCACTTTAAAAGTACTAAAATTATAACTGAAACTTTCCTTTTGTCTTCAATGAGATAACATGAAATAATACTCCCAAGATTGCATACGTGTATGATAGCAAAGTTCCATGATATTCCAAAAGCACAATTTTTAGAAGTAATCTGTTGGTAAAATCCATGCTGGTTTCATTTCTGCCATTAACAAAGTTTTTAGTGACAGCGTTCTCAGAGTTTAATTGTATGAAAAACCGAAGTACTTGAGTGGGAACATATAAGCAGGGGTGAGGAAAAAGAAATCTTATTTGTAAACATAAGGAAAGAACAAAGTTTTTCACTCTTCCCCACACCATTTATAACTCCTTTTAAGAGCCACAATGCCTTCATATATATACATATGCTATAATACTAATTGCAGCTAAATATATTTTATGTTTAAAACTTCTTTCAAAAATAAGTTAGTAATCTTCAGCAAAGAAACTATGATGTAGTAAAAAATAGGGTAGATTTATAAAACTACTCTGTGTCAGTATGTCAGCCTTGATAATGTGAAATATTGAGAAATATAGGAAAAATAAGAAAAAGGAGGTTAGTTTCATTTAAAACACTGTATACTAATTGGAATGTCATGAAAAGGTATATTGCAAATTTCCACCTCTGTTCAGAAAGCTTGAAACCGTATTCTGGCTGGAGGACATTCAGCATTTACAACCTGTTCATTACTTCATACAGCTTTTGTCCCTTATCTTTGAAGTATTAATGACTTTAGAAATGTCTATCATTTTTATCACAACATTCTAATCTGCTATTGAATACTCAAAAATAACCAGAAAATACTAAGTTGAAACTTCAAATATACACTAACAATGAAGACAAGTATCAGAATTTTATTTTGGGGTAGAAGCATCATTTTGAAGGAGACATTCATAGATATCTCAAGCTGATCAACTAACAAATAGCCAGGTATTTCTAAATCAGCAACCTTCAAAAACAAATGTTTACAGAAACACAAATGTGGAAATTTACAGATTATGCATATTTAATGAAGTTTTAAAATTTACTATTGAAAAAACCCATGTACTTGTTTATGGACTAAAAATCAGTCACCTTTTAGCCTAACAAATTCTTCTTGTATTAGCAATGTTAACCTAAAAAGGCTTCTGAGTAGATAACTGCTTATTTGGAGATTGCAGAATCGATAAATTGGTTATTTTGGAGATTGCAGCTACACATATTCTCAGCTGGAAAAAAAGATATTCTGTGCAAAAAGTTTTCATGTGACTTTGAACTACAGCTGCAATAATATGTAGTTTTGGGGGGAGGAGTTAACTGTTAAACTTCAGAGTGCAGCCCAGGGTCTGTTTGGGTAGGTTATTGTGAGACAGCAGAATCTGAACTCTTTCAGTGTCTTTACTTCAACATGTGTTTGATTATATGGGTATTTTCATTGTGTATACTGCAATTCTGATAGTTTGTCAGTGATTCATAGAATCATAGAATGGTTTAGGTTGGAAGGGACCAAAAAAACCATCTTGTTCCAATCCCCCTGCCTCGGGCAGGGACACCTTGTCCCAGACCAGAGGGCTCAAAGCTCCATCCAACCTAGCCTTGAACGCCTCCAGAGATGGGGCATCCACAACTTCTCTGGGCAACCTGTTCCAGTGCTTTAAGCACTCTCACAGGAAATATTAATTATAAATGTAGTCTTTTTCTGTTTGAATCCATTCCTCCTTGTCTTATCACTGTATGCTCTTGTAAAAAGTCCCTCTCTTTCTTACAGGATCCCTTCAGGTACTGAATCAATGTGAATTAATTGAATCATAACTTTAACTTTGAATCATTTAGAAAATTGGCAACATATCCTGAATTACCCACCTATCCTGAATCCCTAACACATATCTATTCCTGTATTTTACTAGTAATCAAAGTAATAAAAACAGAATCATTATATTTAATTTTATCCTTAGCTTCTAAAATAATCCTTTATAAATTTGATCAATATTAATACTAGTTCTTTTAGTATGTTGAAATTAAGTAGGAAAATCTGTCAAAGTGACTCATAACTAATCAGCATCAACCTCTTTCACCAGCTACCAACAGAAAAGCATTTTGTGATATATCCTTTGCTAAATACTAGACTGAAAAGTTTGAATGTAATATGTAATTTTAGCTATTGTTTGAAGTTTTTCTCTGCTTTTGCATAAGCTTTTAAATTTTTCTTAAATTTTTCATTATAACTGAAAAATGTATGGACTTATTCTAAATATGATTACTTCTATAATATTTTTAAAAAATTAAAAATAGAATTAATAGTAATATGACATATTATTTTGACCTGTAATCATAAGCATAATTTTTAAGCTCAGCAAAAGATCACTCACTTTCAAAGTCCAGCAATTTTTTTAATATCTGGAATGATCTTACTATCTCTCTAAAATGAGAATTGCCAAATAAATTCAACAGTAATTGCAAAAAGAATTTTACAAACATGAGATAATACAGGTGAGTATAAGTAATATTTTTAAATATTATCTTCCTAAGGAAAAAAATCCCGCAGAATGCATGTTCCAGTCAGGAGGAAAGACGAGGAATTCCTTAGGCTACTCCCCAGAACTATCACAGTTGTTCTGCTCTAATACAGTCTTACTAGAGCAGCCTGTCTACTCAAAATATCTTTTTTATTCTTGGGCTATCTCAGTTTCTGCAGACAATTTATTTTTCTGTTATTTGCTACTCATTCCTTTGCCTGCCTCATTACAGCCAATATATGTGGGTAAGTGTTCACAGACACTGAGTGACACATGGTGGCATAGAGATGAAACAAGTAGAGTGACCTTAAAAATCCAAAGTTTACACAATAGCATACATATTTGAAGACGCCGAGAGTTAAATAATCGTCAATAATTTACAACAAACACAGTTTACCTTGATAAAAATTTGAAAGAAATTTAGATCTTGACAACCAGTCACCTTTATTTTTTTTTGAGAAGATTAGAAATAAAATTGATAATAGGAGTACAAGCACCATAATTTTGATTTACATAAAGCCTTTGATAGTGTCTCAAATGACAGTCTTCATCTTAAACTGAAATCAGGAAAGATTCAGGTTAAACATGGGAACAGATAAAGAACTGATTAAAGTAAAATGATTAGAAAGTAAAGTGTTGAAAAGGGCCACAGGGGAGTCAGTTCTCAGATCTTCATTGCTTCTAATCTACATAAATTACCCAGACAGAGAAACTAGCTGTAGAACTGCCAAACGCACTGATGACTTACAACTGAAATGAAGTAGTAAGTGGAAAGCAAAAGAATTAAATGATAATTCCCCTTGGAAAATGGTTTACATATTAAATGGAAAACAAAATTTAAGAATGATAAATATAACATACAAAGCATTCTCTGTTTTTCCTTAGAGAAGCACACGAAGCATACTTGTAAATATACAAACTTAAGGGAACCTTTCTGAACCTGTCTAGAAAAAAAATAAGAGAATGGGAAGAAATTCCTGTATACTGCAGCTCTAGAGGGGGGACAGGCAGGGGCAGAGAAGCTATAATTTCAGAACCAAACATAGGATCATAACAGTTGCAGTGGTACAACAAAAACTAATAATTCCTTTCTTTTTGCACTCTCAGAACAAACAAAACACAAAAAAGGCACACCACCCCTCCTCCCCAAGGGATTACCAAAACTTTCCAGTAAGGAAAAATGAAACATTTCACAATGAAAAATAACCCTTCTGGACATAATTATGGGGGAGAGGTTGTGTTTGGTTTTGATTTTTTGTTTGGTGGTGTAGTGGGTTTCTGTGGCTAGGTTTTGTAGTGGGGGGACCTACAGGCGTGGCTTCTGTTAGAAGCTGCCAGAAGCTTCCCCTATCCCATGGAGCCAATGCCAGCCAGCTCTGGGATGGGCTTCCTGGCCAAGGCTGAGCCAACCACGAGGAACAGTTATGCCTCTGGGATAACATATTTAAGAACAGAAAGTTATGGTGCAGAGGAAAATTCCAGCCAGGGAAGGGAGAAGTGAGAACATGGGAATGACAATGCAGACACCAAGGTCAGTGCAGA